TATATATATATATATATATATATTGTTTATTGACCATTGTTAAATTAATCACTTGAACAATCCAATTACCAAGAAAATGATTTATGAGGAAAGGAGTATGCATTTTGAATTAAAGTTAGGGTTATCATTGAAGAGCATGAAACTTGTGAAGCGACTCAACAAAGCCTTTTATGATTCTGAATGGTGTAACTGACTCGACTCCTCCGGTTTAAGAATTATGGTTTAATCATTTACTTATATTCTCTATTTTTTGGGTGAAGTAGTGAGGAATCCTGTGTGTATTGTGGAATTTAAATTGTCTTAAAATGCATGTATCATCTCAGTTCCTGGTTTGAAAGCATGAGAGTAAGTTGTTATTCTCGGTGAAGGGGGAAAAATATAATTAAATAAAAATGGTTTCATCCTCATAATTCAAGTTAGTGATTTGTCTCTTATGCTATGGTAAACTGTTTACACACCCTGTTTTTTTGCTATCTTGTTAGGGTTTGTGGTCGGGTCAAGCTGCCGCACTTCTTCTGTTGCAGTGGGATCAAACAAAATCCTGATGGTAGTAATTAAACACTTATTTTCTTGTGCCCCATCAATTTTAGTTATGAAGTTAAGCAGGTGTATTGGGCATGCCTTATCTTTTGAGTTGTTCTTTCTAATCCTCTTAAGATGACACAATAAAACTAAAGTTTCCCTGTTGAATATTGTTGTTTGGCATTTGAGTGCTGTTTTTCAAGTTCCGTTTTAAGTTTTTTTTTTTCTGAACTTGTAGTTAATGATATAACCCTTTAGTTGTTGAATTTTGTAATACATTATTAAGCATGCCTATAGAATAGTTAAACGTCAGGTAAAAATTGTGTTTCTCAAAGCATAAAAGGAACCTGACAGTAATCACAAAATTGCCATTTTATGCTAATGCATTTGGAAGTTAGTGAACATTTTGAACAATTTCTTTTTTTTTTCTTCTTTGTTTTTTTCAAACGTCAAATGGAATAAGATCAAGAAGTCGAAAATATAGAATTCTGATCACCAACAGGTTCAACCAATGGGCTACATACTAGCCATTGTTTCGTACACAACTTCAAGGACTGACTGGGGAGACTAGAACAATTAACGCCTCTCAACTGCCATAAGGCCATAATACCGGCTACACTGAAAACCAAATACAATGAAACTTACAAATCGAAGAATAAATGTCCAAAGCAACTACATTCATTAAGAAACTAAAGGAAGCCTTTGTATTTAGGTATTGTGCAGTTGCTTTGTCTCCAAGTTTGTAGGCGAAACAACTCCAATCCTGCAGTTTTTTGCTTGCTCTAGCCCTTTCCTTGTTGCCAACAGAACATATTTCTTGGGAACCCTCCATCTTGCTACTTGCATATTGTTTTCCATGGCAATCCCTGTCAAGCACCTCCCTTCAGAAATGGCATAAGTAGCACCAACAAAGATGAAATGTTGTCCTACTCCCTTAATTTTTTTTCCTCAGCCTGCGGCACAATCCTCTTCACCACATTATATTATAAGTACATCTAATTGGATAAATTAATTAAATTAAAATATGATGATAATATATTTAATCAAATCAAGTTTTGTAATATTTTTTTAATTTTTTAATAAATTACTCTGAAATTATTGGAAATATATCTAATAAATCTACGATCGGATACTTGTAAGTGAGTCAATTTATAAATTAATGAGTACTAACCATTGAGTACACTAAGAATAATTACTCTTTTTTATATATAAGATTTTCCATTTATTAAATGCCAAATACAAACGAAAAATATTTTCCCGCCTAAAGTCAGGCCAATTTTGGCAATATGGATTGGTCCATTATATATATATATATATATATCCATTATATATATATATATATATATATATATAGATTTTGAAAAATATAGTTCCTGATAAGAAAGTTGTAAGTAAGAGCATTCCCTGTCGCAAGATTTTACACTGGTTATGCATGTCCTAGTGTCCTGCAGGTTCACTTCCCAAAAACATCTAAAAATTCATGATGTTCACTTATGCTGCAAATTCATGTTTCATTAACTATATATAGTGAAGCTAGTACTGAAAGCATAACTTGTATGCCAAAAAATCTCAACACCATATTATATATGCCGACATGCGTATGATGCACATGTGTGTCAGTGTGTGTAAATGATCCCCATGCCTTATCTCAAAAGAATGTTGCAAACATATTTAATAA